TGCTCGAAATTTGTGTATGGGCGGGGGAGGGGGGGAGGGTCCCTTCAGCCCAGCCTGCACCCTTTCCAATCCGGCATCCCTCTTACAATCCAGGACTGCTGGCTCCTAACTGCTCACCTGCCTGCCTGCCTGATAGCCCCTTACAGCCCCCCCACCAGCCTGATCACCCCTAACTACCTCTGCCTGCCAGCCTGATTGCCCCTAACTGCCCTCCCTACCGGCTTGGTCGCCCCCAACTGCCCCCCTGCCGGCCTCGCCCCTTACTGCCCCCCGTGCCAGCCTGGTCACCCCACACAGCCTGCTGTTCAGTCGTTTGGTTGTCCCTCACTAACCCCCCTGCTGGCCTTGTCGCCCCATGCAGCCTGCTGGTCGTTATTGTTACTGTGATGGTGTCCTGGACAATTTGCATATCCCTCTGTTATTAGTATAAATGTTTAAAAACCAGTGCATTTTACCCTGGCCGGTGTGCCCTGTGGTTAGGGCATCAGCCCATGCATGGAAGGGTTGCGGGTTTGATTCTCACTCAAGGGCATGTGCCTAGTTGCGGGTTTGATGCCTGGCTCACGTGGGAAGCAACCAATCCATGTCTCTCATCTTTCACATCGAAGTTTCTCTCTCTCTCTCGCCCTCTTTGCCCCTCCCTTCCACTCTAAAAAAAATAATCAATGGAAAACATATCCTTGGGTGAGGATTACCAACAAAAAATAAAATAAAGTAAGAACCAGTGCATTTTGAAAACAAGGAGGAGGGCAGTAAACAAGATAAAATATGCTTTTGAAAAAAGAAATTCACATACAGATTCTGAGCACAAAGAAGAGTCAACACTCAGGTGACTGGCCATCGGAAAGGAGACACAGTGGTAGTTCAGCGTTTGTAACTCAAATACCAGTAGGTGACTGTTCTTTTGATGCCTGGGGCTGACTGCCCTGATCTCTCTCACGTGGATGTACAGACCCCTGTGTTCGCACCAGCCTACCCTTTAGGCTTGAGGAGGGAGGACATGGTGGAGACAAGAAGGGAGAGGTTTTCTTTTCTGCATAGCACTTTCTACTGCTGAAATTACCCTTGCTGTTCACTTCTCCAGGCCTATCTCCCCCAGTACCCCCTGCATGTATGTATGCTTTGTGAGGGCTCCACTTTATCCCTAATATTCCCCAAACCTAACACAGTGCCTGCGTGATGGGCAGATCCCTTTGACACCCCAAAACCCTTCCCTCTTTGTCAACCTCTAGCCGGGCAAACATCTCTTTCAGATCGTGTTGGACTGGCCTCCCTGCAGCCTCCACCTGCCCGGTTCTCCCACTGGGACGCCCATGATGGCCAGCTCAGCACCCATGCTGCCAGTGTTGTAGGGACCTGGGACAATGGCCTGAGAGATGGATGCGGTGGGGGGAGAGCTTTCTCTCCTCTTTCCCTCAGGCTCTGTCCCGCACCTCTAGGGAGGTTGGCAGGAACGACCTCATCTTTGTTCTTGGGTGGAGTGTGTACTGTACAGGCATGAGGGTCACCATATCCAGGAACTCCTCCCTGAACCCTTGCTATTCAAACTCAGGGACCAGATAGACTCAGATGAACCTTCAGATGAACCTGTCACCACTTAAGCTCTTGCTGCTCTCCACCCAGCACTCAGGAGCCAAGTAGGTGAGGACAATGGGACTGTCCTGATCCTCCAGGTTCTTGCTTCTTAGGAATGGAACAGATTTGGACAGCAAGGGATATTTGCGTGTTAAAGATTGTGTGATCGTTTTTATATCTGTAGTAGCTGTTGCTTGAGAAAACATATAAATGTGCTGAATTCAGAAAGAAGTTACATTTAAGTGATTGTATTTTTTGAGTCACAGAAACCTGCACGTACATTTGATTTATATCCAACACTTCTTTTCACTTTGTTGATTTTTGTGCGCTATTGTAAATGGTGTTGGTTTTTAAATTTCAAATTCAAATGGTTCATTTGGGATATAGGAGTGAAATTGACTTTTGCATATCAATCTTGTATCTTGGGATCTTGCTATACTCAATTACTAGTTTTAGTGGGGTTTTAAAATAGGCTTTGTAGATTTTTTTATTTTCTACATAGAATACCATGCCCTCTGAGAATAAAGACAGTTTTATTTTTTATTTCAATATATGTATACTTATTATTTCTTTTTCTTGTCTAATTGCACTAGCTCAGACTTCTTCCACATTCGTTTGGGAAACAGTCCCATATCCACATTAGAAATACTCAGTTATGGTGCATCTGGATTCTCAAACTCCCTTACAGCAAATCCAGGGCCCAGGGGTAGGAAGTTGCTGACCAGCCTGTCAAGCTGTCAACACTGGTGGGTGAGAATCAGAAGCTTCGAGGGTCCTCATGGGGAGCGTGGGGAAGACCCAGCTTTGCACCCAGAGGTGACTTCTGATCAGTGTTCCCTGTGACTTCTGCCTTTTCTATGTCTCAGAACATGCTTTTGCCTGGCTCCCAGCCATGGAGTTCAAGCTGGGTGTGGTCTTGGCAGCTGGTGGTGGGTGGGGTAGGAGGGACAGGCAGGAGGGCTGCGGCCCTGGGCTGCCCTGGGCTGGCCTCTTGCTTCAGGAACAGTTTATGTTCTGAGATCTGGGCTCAGGGCAGGGAACAGTGCTGGCATGCTGCAGGGCGACAGGGTGTGGTGAGCGGAAGCTGCGGTAGGTTCTCCAAGGACTTCATCGTCATGTGAACTGTAGCTGTGGTGGGAGTGGGGCGTGGGGGGGGGGGGGGGGAAGGCTGTCCGCCTCTCACTTGTTTATTGTGCCAGATGGGCTCCTCAGACATCAGTCAGAATTGAAAAATTTCAAGGGACTGTCCCTGTCAAGGATTTCATTGTACATATGAGGAAACCAAGGCAGGGACTTTGTTGATACAGGAGCCCAGGTCTCTCTGGAGACAGGACATGTGTGCTTGGTGGCCAGGGCTGAAGCCTCAGGGAAGATATACCCTGTGTGCCTGGTGGTTGCACTGTTTTCTGTTGCATCTAAGATACAATTAATTATAAGATGCACGAGTTATAAGATCCCTGAGAAGCAATAAACAATGCCAATTAAATTATGACACACCATCATGTAAGATGCACCCCAATTTTAAAGATGATAAAGTGTGAAAAATGTGCTTCTTAGGATTGATAAAATAAGATGAATTCATAAAATCGATAATCGTATAAAATTACACATGCAGTGTAAAAACCGAGTTTTCCCTGCCTCTTCTAATCAAATTCTACTCAGTAGAGATAATCTCTATTGACATTTTTGGCACATGTCCTCGAGACATGTTAATGCATCTGTAAGTATATTTATGCAGTAATTATTGTTGAGAACATTGCTATCTGCTGGGCCCTGTGCTAAGCACTCTGAGTCATGTTAGTTAATCTTTGCAACAGGCTCATGAGGCAGGTATGAGCTACCCTCCCTTTACAGCTGCGGACACTGAGGCCCAGAGAGATGAAGGGACTTACCTGACATCACACAGTTTCAAAGAGGCGAGGCCTGAGCTTGAATCCAGGCCCCTTCAACCTCAGGGCCTGAGCTCTTAACTAACTTGCTGCTCATATCCTTGATATGCAGATATGAGTACGGTATGTCTTTCAAAATCGAGGTCCAAAGGAACTTACGGTTCTGGGATCTACCTGCAATATTTTTCTCCTAACCATACCCCATGGGCACTTTTCCATGTCAGTACCTAAGGAGCTGCTTTATTTTTCGAATAGTTGCAAAGAATTCTCCTACGACAGTATTTGAACAGACTTCCAGTCCCCTACGGCATTTCTCCCAGTTTTTTGTGATTACCAGAACGCCGAGCGGATCAACTGTATACTTCCGTCTTTGTGTATTTCTCTAATTATTTCCTCAGGGAAATTACCAGGTCAATTTCCTTCCAACACGTTTATGGTTTTAATTTTTACAATTAGATTTTAATCCATCTGCAGCCCCAGTATTTCATGTGTCAGGAGAGCGTGCAGGGAGGTTTGTGGATGTGCTGGGCACCAGCTGGTTGCATGTGAGTCCCAAAGTGCCTATGGAGGGGGCAGACAATGCGGGGGGTCGGGGGGGGGGGGAGAGGCTTCTGTCGCTGGCTTTCCCCTCCCTGGTCCAGGGGCAGGAGGGGGGTTGGGGCAGAGTTCAGGGAAGGGGCCACATTCTCTGGGTGCTGTTGCTCCTCCCTGCTCCAGAGAACCTCTCCGCCCATGCCCTGGCCTCTGCAGATATTAAGAATAATAGTAATTGCCATGACAGCGCCTCCTGAGATACAGGCTATAAACATGCACTATTTCTGATCTTTCGCGTTTAGGGTTGTTTTCAGTTTTCTATAGATGAGGAAACCGAGGCTGCCGTCTGGAGAGGGAAAGGCTTGCAGGTGACAGAGATGGGCAGAGCTCCAGCTCAGGCCCTGCTCTTAGCGCGGGGATTTGTCCCCCGAGGCTGCAGCCCTGGCCTGGCCTGCACAGTTGTGTGTGGTGGATGCTACTGGTGCTCATCAGGTGTCTGCTTCCCCTCCCCGCTCTCCTGAAGGAGCATCTCTGACCCGGTGTGACTCTGTGCTCTCCTCTCCGGCTGCAGCAGGCTTTGGGGTCTCCTTCTGAGATGATGGCATCACAAGGTGGCCGCCATGAACAAGCCCCCTGCCAGCCAGTGTGTGTGAGTGAGAAACCAGCCATTGTTGTCTTAGGCAGCTGAGATCATGTGTTAACACAGGGAAACTTACCTTATGCTTCCTGATGCACTGTGGCACCTAGACCCTCCCCTAACTGCCTCGGGCTCCGTTTTAGGGCGTAGAAAACGGGCACACTTGTTGCCCCCCGCGGCGCTAGCTCAGAAAGGCACGGGCTGAAATGAGACCGTGGCTGTGGGAGGGCTCTGTGGGGTCTGAGCACCAGCAGGGAGAGGGTAGGGACATGCCGGACACCCACGGACCCTGGGTCCAGGGCCTCCCGGTTTACCTCCTTCATGCTGGTCTCAGGCTTGGTTAACAGGTGTGTTCCCTTTGGCAGGTGGCCCCACCCCGGGCGGCGGTGCCCCCTGGCACCTTCGAAATGTCCTCAGCGACTCAGTGGAGAGCTCGGATGATGAATTCTTTGATGCAAGAGGTGAGTGAACCCCACGTGCTCCCATCATTGCTGGCTGATCTTTCTGGAAGCCCCAAGAAGGAGTCTCTGTTGGGGATTAGTATCTCTCCCCACTCAGACACTCAGTTCCACCTTTCATACCCAGTCTGGGGGCCCCTGAGGGCTGGGGTTCAGCTTCTACTCACTCACTCACTCACTCACTCACTCACTCACTCTTTGAGATGCTTGCTGAGTCCCTCGGATATCCCAGGAGCTGTGTGAGGCACTCCCCATACTGTGGGAAACTCATAGGCATGGCCACACCCCCATCAAGCTTACAGGCTAGTGCAGTGGTTCTCAACCTATGGGTCGCGACCCCTTTGGAGGTCGAACGACCCTTTCACAGGGGTCGCCTAAGACCATCCTGCATATCAGATATTTACATTATGATTCATAACAGTAGCAACATGACAGTTATGAAGTAGCAGCGGAAATAATTTTATGGTTGGGTCACAACGTGAGGAACTGTATTTAAAGGGCCAGAAGGTTGAGAACCACTGGTCTAGTGGGAGAGGCAAGCATTGAACAGTTTCACAAATGCAATCAGAATGGGGAATAATGACACTGAGGAAAAGTATCAGCTGTTAATTCAGAGTGAGGACAGGGGTACCTAACTCGGTTAGGGCTAGGGGGTCGTTAACATCCTCTCTGCAAAACTGAGGGAAGGAGGAGGCTAGGTGAGCAGTGGGACAAGGACCCTCTAGGCAGGACTCCGTAGGTATGATGGGGCTGAAGCAGGAAAGATGGGGCATTCTGGGGACTGAAGGGGGTCCTCATGGCAGGGAGGTAGCAAACCAGGGGAAGGGGAGAGAAGACGTTGCCTGAGACCCAGTAAGTGGCTTATAGGATTAGCGCACGGCTGGGAGGGAAACAGCGACGAGGTAGAGACCTGTTAGAAGCCTGTTGCAGCTGTTCAGAGGAGAGACGATGGTGGGCAGGCTGTCAGGTGGTTACCCAGGGCTGAGTGCATGGCCAGTACACAGGACATAGCCAGGGGCATTCTGTAAGCCAGGATGGAAGAATAAGCAGCTTTGCAAAAACTGGATAAGAGGGCACCGGATGGGGTGGGCACTTCAGGCAGAGGGATCAGCCTGAGCAAGGGCTGGGAGGGCAGGCGTAAGGACCAGCGGGAGGCAGTGTCTGTCTGGAACTCAGGAGAGAGGAGCCTCGCAGGTGTGCTCATGGGCACTGCGTGTGAGTGGGCGGAACAAACAAGGGCCTCTTCTCTGGCCCAGGAGGCTCCCCACTTCTCACTTGCCTGGCGTGGGAAGTCACCATACTTGGGGGGTTACCTGCCTTCTGAGGCAGAGCCAACTGAAATGCCTGGCAAAATGGGGCCTTGAAGGAGAAACACACTGTGCTGGGAAGACCTCTGGGCCCAGAGCAGCACCCTCGGGGCACGGGCTCACCCATGCCCTTACCTTGTTTGTGATCGTGGGCAAGTCTTTCCCCTTCTCTGGGCCTCAGTTTCCCTGTCAGCTCTGTGTCTCCGGAAACGGAGGGTACCCAGTCCAGGTGATTTTCGGGAAGCACGGCTGGGTGGTGGGATGCTGTCTGGCTCCAGCCTCCCTCATGCTGGGCTCTAGGCAGAGAACCCTCTCCCTGATGCCAACCCTAAACCAGCCCATTTGGGGCTCATTTCCTATCTCCCATTGGAGCCGAGTTCCTCCATAGCAACTAAGCCGCAGTGTGACAACAATGGCTTCAATATTTTGATGCTTGTAGCACATTTATTTAAAATATTTTTGGAATGCCTCAGGGCTTGCATTCCCAGATGACAAGGATGGCTTGCTGCAGCGGCATCACCTTCATCCTTCGGGGCCCTGCTCACCTGCTTTCCCTGAGAGCAGCTGTGGACATGTCTGCTCTCCTCCCTGCTGACCGCTGCCTCCTTCAGCTCCCCGTCCTCCCCTCCCAGGACCTCTCTGCTCAGTCTGCGGTTCCCAAATTGGCCTCCTCTTTCATCCCTTTCTCATTGGAGGCCCCTCCATCTCCATCTCTTCCTCCGCTCTCCCCACTCCGTCTTTCCTTCTCTTTACTGCCCCAGGATTCCAGACTCTCTGTCTCTTTGCTGGTTCCCCCCCTCTCGGCACTCCCCACCAGCCTCGCGTCTCTGCTCCCTCCCCCATCGCCCTTGCAGAGCACCCCTAGCCCTCAGCCACAGGAGCGGCTCCACAGGTCAGAGAATCCTCTTTAGTTCTGAGTTGCCTTCCTGTCTGCTCTGTGTGGACTCCCTGGACAAGGCCTCTGCATGTTTCCTTGGCTCAAGGCAGTAGGAGGTGAAGTTATCCTTCTTCTCTGCTCCCAGGAGCTGGTCCAGGCCCCACCTGGCCTGCCCTCTTGGCATATGGGCCAGGCCATGGGTGTCCAGCTTCCTGGGCATTCCTTGAAGGGCCATTTCCCTGGCCTCCTTTCTACAGCCAGGCTGAGCCCTGACCCTGACCTGAGGGTGGCCTCTGTCCCCACCTGAGCAGGCCCTGCATCCTGCTGCCTCAGCGTTCCCACTCCAGCCTTCGTGGGACTGTATTGGCAGGTGTCAGCACTGAACAGGCCCCTGGGACACCATGTCCTCCTCCTCCTCAGTGCATGATGGGGAAACTGAGGCTCAACCATGGAAGGGACCTCCCAAGATCACACACCAGGGTGGGGATGAAGGGGCTGGAACCCAGGAGTTGAATGGCCAGGTCAGGCCTTTTTCTTTGACTTATTATTGCAATATGGGCTTTTCCCTTCCTTCCTTAAGCTCCAGCCCTTGGCCCAGTGCTGGGTTACCAGGTGGGATGAGAGAGCCTCACTGCTCATGGTCTAGTAGCAGAGGGGAGGCTCTGGGAGTTCTGGTTGTATATGGAAGGCATAGGAGGGATTGGGGTTAGTCAGGCAGGAGTGTGGAGCCCTCTGGGTCTATAACAACTCTGGGGCAGCATGCTGGCTCCTTAGGCCAAGGCAGCAGCCCTGGGGCTGGGGGTGGCTGATGCCCCTGATTGGATGCTGCAGGGTGGCCGATGGGATCTAGGCTCCAGACCAGACCAGCTGCCACTGCCTGTCCTGTCCATACAGTGAAAGGACATCTGGAGAGCCATGCCCTGGTCCACCAAGTTTGGAGGGCAGAGTGAGGGGATGCGCCTGAAACCCAGGCCATGTCAGAGCTGGGGGCCCTTGGGGTTTTGAGTCTGACAACCTATCCCATTTTTCAGGCTGGGAAACTGGGGCCAGAGAATTGGGCAACCTGCTCAGTCTCACACAGAGTCAGAGAGAACAGGAGCCAGATATCAGACTCATTCATCCACTCTTTCAAGTTTACTAGTATCTGCCCATCAAGCACCAGGTAGGATTCCAGGGACAAGTAGGTCCTGTCCCAGCCCTCCTGGAGCCTGCACTTTAGTGTTGATGGGCGGTGGTGGTAAGACAATATACGAGCATGTAAATTATATTGATAATTAGCATAAATAAAAGAATATAAAGGAATAGACACCTCACCAAAATATATGCATGAATGACAAAACAATGAAAATATGCTCAACATCATTAGTCATTAAATGCAACTAAAACCATGAGATACCACTACACACCTATTATGACAGCTCATTAAAACAGCTGATCAGGCCCAGCTGGTGTAGCTCAGTGGCTGAGCATCGACCTGTGAACCAGGAGGTCATGGTTTGATTCCCAGTCAGGACACATTCCTCAGGTTGTAGGTTCGATCCCCAATAGGGGATGTGCAGGAGGCAGCAGATCAATGATTCTTTCTCATCATTGATCTTTCCGTCTCTCTCTCTCCCTCCCTGAAATCAACAAAAATATATTTTTTAAAAATTGATCAGGATACGGAGGAACTGGAACGTTCAAACTCTGCTGATGGGAATGGACAATGGCGCAATCCTTTTAAAAAGTGGACTGCAGCTTCTTAAAAAGTCAGTCAAAGTTAACTGCCACATGACCCCGCCCTTCCAATCCTAGGTAATTGACCCGAGGAAAGCATGCATCTTTCACCTGGGACATGGCCGTGAGTGTTTATAGCGGCTTCATTTGTTATAGCTCTGAACCAAAGACAACTCAAATGTACATCAGGGGGTGACTAGATAAACGTTCATGCAGTGAAATGCTACTTGGCTGTAAGAGGGAATGAACCACGGATACACGCACCACGTGGGTGAATCTCAAATATAAGGAAGCTGAGTAAAAGGAGTCAGATGGAGAAAGTACATATTGTATGATTCCATTTATATAAAACGCTAGAGAATGCAAACAAATCTGTAGTGACGGGAGCAGGTCAGCGGTTGCCTGGGACAGGAAGGAGGGCTAAAAAGGGGCAGGAGAAAACTTCTGAGGGCAATGGGTACATATTTGCTGTCTCCATTGGGGTGATGGTTCCACAGGTGTGTCCACATGTCAAAAATTACCAAGTTTACATTCTACTTTTTATCTGAATTAGGCAGCATCCCCACTAGTAAATAATAGAGAGGTTCTCCCTCAAATTGTACATTTTAAATGTGTAGACTGAACTGAATGTCACTACATCTCAGGAATACTGTTTAAAAAATGGGGGAACTCCCTCCAGTATAACATAAGGGAATGTGACAGTGACTGGTTGATGGTAAGAAGCCTTCAAATACGGCCGTGAGCTGAGGATTGAATAACAAGAAATGAACCATGTGAGTGTCTGGGGGAACAGTGTTCTGGGCAGTGGGAACAGCCAGCGCGAAGCTTTTACGGGAAGAATGAGCAGAAAGGCGTGGGTGCCAACAGTGAGCAAGGGGGTGCCCCTTAGTGCTGTCCGTCCGCTGTCCCAGTACGGGGCGGGAGGGCAGGCTTGACCTAGTAGCCTCAGGACATGTGCACGAGGAGTTTACATGGGCCAGATAATTCCATGAAAATTCCAAAGACAGGGAGGCAACATTGGGCATTTAAGACATTTATGGACAAAGGAGAAGGTTGGAGGCTGGGGGGACAGGGTATTAGGTTTCAGAAGCGAGAATGGGCCATTTGCAGGGAGTGGAAGGAGGTGGACCGCACATGGCGGGCACGTCCTTGCCAAATGACTCAGAGGTAATGGGACACGGGGTATCTAGCTAACAGGCCCCCTGTTTACCACACTTAATGCCAGTTAGGCTAAGGTGACACCCTAAACTCACCTTCCCAAAGCAGGTTTGTCTGTCTGAATCTCTCGGGCAGGAAAGGGGGGTGGGTCGAAGATTCTGTCTGAGTTTTGTTTAACAGTTTAAAATCAATATTCCAAAAAGCAGCTTCAGCTTCACGGTAGCAGCATTTGGGCCCTTTCAGCTGCAGTGAAGAGAGAGTAGTGGTGATGGCCGCGGGTGAGGGGATGGAGCCGGTGTCAAACAGCTCTAGGGAGGGGTAGCGATCTTGTCTCCCGGAGGCCCAGGATGCTCATCCACGTCCTTTGAAAAACTGGCACTGTGGTCCTGATGCAAAGGGTGATGCTCGGTGTTGGACTGGCCAGCTGCAGAAGGGGACACGCCCTCACTCCATGAGCGGGAGGTGACCTCTTCCTGGTGTGGGGCAAGGAGATTTCCTGCTCTGAAGGCCCCTGGATCCCGCAGAAACAGGCCTGGGAGGAGGAAAGGCTTTCCTTCCGGCACCGGAGGTTGTGCTTAAAGGGGTATATCCAGGCTTCGGTCAGGGTCGGAGCCAGTCTGGGGTCCAGGCCAGGTATGTGGTGCCTCTGGATGGGATTCAGCCTGACACCTAGTCTGGGCAGGGACGGGGCTCAGTTGGAGTGACATAGATGCAGACACTGTCCACACCGGAGGCCACCGGGGATGAGGATTGGTGCGCAGGGAACACTTACCAGAAGCCAAAAAGCAAAATCAATAAGCAGGACATTTATCCAGAGAAGCCATTTGTGGCCTCTGTGGGCCCTGATAGGAGGCACGTACCACAGTGAGGGGAAGTAGAGCGGAGACCTGGAGCTCAGATTTGCCTGAATGACTCCGAAAGGAGCAATCGTGGTGTGTGTGTGTGTGTGTGTGTGTTCTCACTGCCTCTCAGGGAACATAGTGAGAATCTGAAGGCTGAGTGTTGAGAGCAGGGGACAGAGAAGGGAGGGTGGGGAGCAGCTGGAGAGACAGGGATGTGGTGGAGGAGCAGGGAACCCAAGGAAGTCAGGGAAAAGATGAGAAGCAGAGGGAGAGAGAGCAAGGGAGACCCAGAGAAGGTTAGAGAGAGGGACACACACACACACACGCACGCACGCACATGCACATGAACCAGAGAGAGTTGAAAGAGAGACAGTGACTCAGAAGGAGAGAGAGAAGACCAGAGAAAGCACGACAGACCTGCACGGCCAGAGAGTTCCTGAGGGACAGGACCCAGAGAAAGAAAGAGAAACCCAGAGAGTGAGAGCGATCAAGACAGAGACATCTTCCCGGAGAGAAGAGAGAGAGACAGATGCTGGGATAAAGAGAGAGGAAGAGCAGAGAGTATGGAGCATGATTGAAGTTGACCCAGATAAAGGGACAGAGGTGGCCGAGAGCACTGGGAGCCTGAGGGGCACAGAGAAATGCAAGGACCAAGAGGGACAGAGACCAATGGAAGGGATCTGGCAAGATCAGATCTGAGTGGGACAGATCTGAGTCATAGAGGAACATGGCGGGAGTTGGAGAGGAAGACACACCTACTAGAAAGACAGACAAAAGACCAAAAGGGCAAGATGGAGGAGGGCCATGCACAAAACTAGGAAGAGAGGAAAGAGGCCGAGGATGGTGCAGAAGTGGGCGTGCTCCAACCTCAGAGCCTGGGAGAACCCTCGGGTTCTGATAGGCTCATACACACCCCAGGAATAGGGCTTGCACATTGTAGGAAAAATGAGAGCTAGGATGTGTAAGCACCTACTGCATACCGGGCACTGGACCAGGACCCCCAGCATGCTCATCTCCTACACCAGAGTTATTTATTTATTTATTTATTTATTTATTTATTTATTTCATAAATTAGGGTAGAGGTCATGTCACACTGCACACAGTAGGTGCTCAGGAGTCCACTCACTGTAGAAAGAATGCTCGAATGAACAAGTGGGCAACGGAGAGCCAGGAGACACAGCACTCACAGTGGGCTACCAGCTGATTACCCCCTCTGGGTCTGGGGCAGGGTCACAGGGGCAGAACACAGCATATGTGGGGAATGTTGGGGCATACACCACATCCTCTGGGGTGGAGGTGATGATGGACCATCATCTTCATGTGCTGTTACCCACTGCTGTGCTCTTATTGTGTAAACACTTCACCTTCATGGTCTCATTTAAGCCTCACGGCAATCCTATGACATAGCCATGACTGGGATGTCATTTTATAGATGAGGAAACTGAGGATCAGAAAGCTACATTATTGTCAAAGGGCATATATGTAGCAGGATTGGAAAGACTCAACATAACACTGAACTGAGCTCTTAGCCCTTGGTGTCCTCCTTCCCCCAGAGTAAAACTACCTGATGTTTGTTCACAGCATTTTGGCTTGTGAAGCTTTTGAAAATGTAGTATGTCATTGTCCTCATGGCAGCTTGCTAGGCAGAGTTGTAAAACTAGAGTTGTTATTCCCATTTAAGGGGAAAAAAAAACCACAGGAAAAGCTGAGGGATGTATGCAAAGCACAGGCTCACGTGTAGCACTCTCTGGACTGGGACCCGGTCAGGGCTCTGCCCAGAGCACAGTGCTGCTAAGAGGTGTGCACTGTTGCCCAGATGGAACACACCACACTGACTAAATTGTCTGGTGTGAGTGGTGCCTGGCTGGAGTGTTGGGAAACCAATATAGGATGCCCATGGTAGGCCATTGGGAGGACAAGATTTTAGGACTCTTAAAAAATGTTCTTATTGATTTTAGAGAGAAAGAAAGGGAGAGGGAGAGAGCGATAGAAATATCAATAAGAGAGAAACATCAATTGGCTGCCTCCAACATGCCCCCCACTGGGGATCAGGCCCACAACCTGGGCGTGTACCCTGATCTGGAATTGAACCAGCAACTCTTGGTGCATGGGTCAATGTTCAACCACTGAGCAACACCAGCTGGGAAGATTTAAGGACTCTTGAAATAGTATATCTAGGTTTCAATTCTGGCTTTAGACAGTGATATTGGGCAAATTCCTGAACTACTACTCCATGCCTAAAATGGAGATAATAATAATTGTACTTTTTTAGCATTTTATGAAAATTAAGTGAATTAATATTTTAAAAGCACCTATAATAAGCTCAGTGCATAGTAAGGATTTGATGTGTTGTTAAAGCAATCAAATAAATCAAATAACTCAGGAATCATCATCACCATCATCATGATCCATGCACCAGCCACACGTGGGCCCTAGATTACTGAGTTCTAGGGGAATTCAGAACTTTGGACAGCGCCCCAAGCTTCAGATCCACCATATTGGACCCACCTGCTCTGCAAAGTTCTTTGGCAGTGAAATGGGTCTCGTCCCTTTATTTTTGGTTATCATGAGCTTGAGGATTCTCCTCACCACTCTTTAATGTCTATTCCACAAGGGAGGACACAAAGCTCTTTACCAGGAAGGCCCTTCAAAGAGAGAGGGCAGCCACTTCTGTGGGTTTGTTCTTGAGGAAATGCCCCTTTCTGGGATGAGGGACTACACCAGATGTGTGGGACCCAGGGATCTGTATTCAGCGTGGTTAGGGAATGTGGCCCCATCAATTTCTCTCAGAGTAATCACCAAGCTCAGACTGGGAAAGAATAAGGATACAGACAGGGTTGAGGGGAGGACTAGGGATGGGGAATGAAGGCATTAATAAGTTCATAAAGTTACAATGTGGGCTAAGGGTTCTACACAGCTCGAGGCTCGCTTAGAGCAGAAGTCTTCTGCTCTTCCAGCTACTCTAGAGCTGGCCTGCCCCACTCAAATCCAGGTCCACTCAAATCCTGACGGCAGCCCACTTCTCATGTGAAGAAATAACCTGATATCGCTCGCTTATGCGCGCCCTCTATGCACCGAGGCCTTTACACCCATTATCTCGGTTGTCCTCACAACAGCTCTGTGGGCGAGACACTTCCCGCCCCATGGTACTGATGGAAAAACGAAGCTCAGAAGGCAAGTAACTGAGCCAGAGAAAAACTGCTAGCAGTGGCAAGGACCCCCTCCACCCCCAAGCACACTTCCTTTCAAGAAATATCTCTCGTAGGACTAGAAATGGAGCCTTCTGTGGGTTTTCAGCCTCTCTCGTGACTTTCTTTGGATGAAAAATTCCTGAGTGCCTTGTACCTGTCATAACTACCGACACTTCAAGTCAAAGGAAGGCATAAGTACTCCTTCAGATATAAGCTCCTGTCAGGACTACCTATACCCTTCCCTCCCTGCTCACACACATCTCTGCTCCTTCCACAGAGGAGGTGGCTGAAGGGAAGAATGCCATCCTCATCGGGATGAGCCAGTGGAATTCGAATGACCTGGTGGAGCAGATGGAGACCATGGGCAAACTGGAGGAGCATCAAGGTGAGATTCTGCTTCTGTCACGACCAGGGTGTGTGTGTATGTACATTGCAGGGCGGGTCGAAGTGCTAGGACTTGGGTCTTCTATCTGTCTGGGCACCTCCCCTCTCTAAGCCTGTGAGCCCTGAATTCTGTGACCTGCAGGAACCCTCATGGAGACTTTTGTGGGGTTTTCTGCAGCAGAGAAGTTCCAGGGTCTTTCACAGAGCGTCCTTTGTCCCCAGGAAAATGGGTAACTGAGGGCAGGTGGCAGGGTCCAAGCTCTTTGGACTGCCAGGCCAGGTCTATGATGCTGGAATCTGTTTGGTAAACTAGGGTAGCACCTGGAGGGGCCTTTGAGAGGGAGCAGGGCAGAGGGGCAGGAGCGGGAGCCTTAAGTTTTGGGCTGAGCTGTTGAAGATAGAGTTGTGTCTGGGAATTAATCCAGGAGGCTTTTTATGGAGACAAGTTTTGACCAGAAGATTAATCAGCAGACAAAGCAGCCATATCCTTTTAGGCATTCATCCATCTGTCCATTAGACCACATTGCATCGCTAACAGAATGTTTGTTAAAAATCTACTGTGTGTAAAGTGCTTATAGGAGGGACCAAAGGTGACTCAGCTGAGGCCCCTGGCTTGTGATGTGTCTCACAGTGTAAGTCAAGACCTAAGGGAGTTGGGCTTAAGTGGAAGGTTGTTGGGCCCAGAGGTGAGAGGCAGGAATTTAGGAAGGAGGCAGGAGAGGGCGGCTCAAGGAAGGGTTCCTGACAATGAAGCTATGGAGCCAGGCTTTGAAAGGCAAGTGGAGGATGCAGCAGAGGCGGTCATAACATCTGAGATGACATATGGGGAAACCGAGGCTCAGAGAGGAGCTGTATATGATTAAGGTGGGACTGGTGTGAGGCTCCCACCTATCCCAGATGTAGGTGCTAACTTCCGTATTTGTCATCCTGAGGCCAGCTCTTTCTCTCCCTCCTCCCTACCCCCTATATCACTCCTTCTATTTCCCCTCGTCCTCATCTCCTCTTTTCTTCCTCTCCTGGTCCTGTAATGCCTCAGCCACGGTCTGGGCCAGAGCTGATTGCCCGGGAAGGCCATCGTATCAGGAGCTGTTCGGGGAGACGCTCTGGGCCAGCCCAAGAGAAAAACACACCTTGCTGCTGGCCGTCTCAGTGATGGCTGACTTGCCTGCAGCCTCTGTGCCTTTCCTCACCCCATCCTACCTCCTTGGTTTTGAGCCCTCCCCTGGCAAAGGGCCCATCCTGAGGAATGGACAGGCCTGGAGTGATGGTTCTATTAGGCAAGTGAAGAAACCCAAGGCTCAGAGAAGCCCTGTCTTGCCCAAGGTCCTCCAAGTTGGTGGCAGCATCACACTCAGATCTCTAGTCTCTTGATTCCCAGACCAGGGTTTCACCTCCCAGATAGGACTGAGGCCATGAAGCCCAGAGTCTTAAAGGAAAGCCCCACCCCTCGGCCACTGTCACCGTCCTAGGAAGGCAGGCTCTGCGTCTGATCGTCAAGGCCAGCCCAGGGCCAGTTTCCAGTCTTCACAGGCACACATTTGCCGATGGACCCTTGTCTGCTCTCCTTCACCTGGGGGACCCTGCAGCGGGCCCACAAGAGGTCATGGGCTCCAGGTGCTTCCTCAGGACAATGCTTGGTAGCTACAAAAAGACAACCCCAGACTTGTACTCACCACCCATCTGGCCACCCATGTCCCACCACCAGCCTCACTTGTCTGCCAAAAGATATGTGACTCAGACACAGTGTGAGCTAAGGAGTGGGTGAGCGAGAGGCAGAGCGGCTGGTGGGGGGCAGGAGAGAGGAAGCAGAGGGAGATTGGTGGGAGAGGCGGCGACTGCAGCTCTGGAATCTAAGAGGTCTGGGGTTTGAACCTTGGCCCTGCCGGTCTGTGGCTCTGTGGCCAGGGAAAGTCACATCACCTCTCTGAGCCTCCGCTTGTTCCTCTGCAGAGCGGGGCTAGTACAAAAGCTGTGAGGATTAAAGGAGCTAATACTTGCAGCGTGCGTTCAGTAACAGGTCATGAGCATGCTGGAAGTGGGGGGAAGAGTGAAAGATGGTGCACAGGCACCACTCTCACCGACGCTTCACGGTACTCCGGAGAGGCTGAATTAGGGGCAGTGCTTGATTGCGCTGAGAATTGATGCTGTCTCCTCCCAGGACAGATGGGGAGCAGGAGGACGAGAGAGAAGAGGAGGAGAGGAAGAGGGAACCAGCCGTGTTTCCAGCTCCTTCTGAGTCTCATTCCCCAGGAGACTCCTAATGTGAATTCCCACAACACGACAGAACACACACATTCATTTCATTCATTTCAACAGTCATTTATGGAGCCGCGACGGGCTCGACCCTGGGCTGGAAGTGGGGGAAACCAGCAGGAGCCGGCTGGCATTGCCGCTCTCTGAGGAGCTCACAGCAGAGAGGAAAACTAGGCAATTAAACAGACTGAAGAGGGGGCCTTCGGAGAGGCTCCGAGGGAAAGGCTAATATCAAAATCGGTGGCACAGATAGAGCTCTACTCCCGCCTCCCTCAAACATCCTTCCCTGAAACGTGGTCGTGCGTCTCTGCTGGGCCCGAGTGTCTCCCGGATCTTGGACGGTTTTACATGTTCAACTTACAGCTCCGCGTTTCCATGCTGGCGAGTGGTGCCGATTTAGACCCCACACCCACCGGTGGCAGAAGCTGAGGGTCTTCGTTACTCACGTGTGACTTTTTCCTGCTTCGCTGTCTGTGAATGGTTTCCGTGCTGCGCCCCCCTAAGGAGGGTTGTGTTTCTAAGCACCTTTATGGATGGAGCAGCCGTGCCACAATCCCTGCTGTGCAGGGGGCCCACTTTACTGCCTCACCAGCTCCCACAGGCTGAGGCCCAGTTTGTGGGGTTGATGGTGCGGTTTTCAGCCTCTAGTCCCCGAGCCTCTGTCCATCTGAGCTTCCCGTGGGCCTCCTCCAGGCTGGCTTCTGCTTTTGTCTCCGCATTGTAGCTCCCTTGTTGTTTCTGGCATTTCTGTATGATCCATTCTTTATTTTGAGCTTGGACATCTTTTTGGTAATATATTGCCCAGTCTATATGTTTTTTAATGAAGGGGATCCTTCAGCATCAGTTCAGTTCACTTTATTTATTATTATTACTATTTTTATAATGGCATGCATCGCTATTTTTATTTATCATTTTTTAATTGGGTAAAATATACATAATATAAAACTTACCATTTTTAACATTTTCAAGTGTACAGTGTCATGGCATTAAGTAGATTCATATAGTTGTGCAACTATAAACCGTTCCTGTCCAGAACTTTTTCATCATCCCAAACTGAAACCCTGTACCCATTAAACACGAACTCTCCATTCCCTACTTCCTGCCGCCCCCCACTCCCTCGCCAGCCCCTGCTTCCACCATTCTGCAATCTGGCTCTATGAATTTTACTGCCCTGGGGACCTCGTGTAAGTGCCATCATGCAGTGTTTGTCTTTTTATGTCTGGTTTGTTTCACTTAGCATCATGTCCTCGAAGTTCATCCCTGTGGTAGCATGTGTCAGAATTTCTTTCCTTTTTCAGGCTGAATGGTATCCCATTGTATGTTTCTACCATAATTTGTCTACCCAGTCACCTGCTGGTGGACATGCTTCCACCTTTAGCTATTGTGAATAATGCTTCTATGAACATTGGCGAACAAATGATCACCTTATTTCTTGAACACATTTTCATTGTAAACAAAAAAGCACAAAGAAAACCAAAGCCTCCCTTATCGACTTCTTCCCATCACAGACCTCACTGCAGACTTTATCAATTCGGAGGGATCTCTATAGAGATAGGTCCTATCGTCTGCTATTGCCGCCACTTAATTTTCATTTTTCACTTCGTAGTCGATCTTGGAGAGCTTTTCACATGAATATATACACTGAGTGGCCAGATTATTATGACCACCTGATGTTTGTAGGCAAATTAGCTATAATTTTGTGCTGAAGTTGCTAGAGGGCCAGACCATTATAAACAGGGAAGCAGGTTGTTTACCACGATAGTAGAAGCGATTTTTGTCTGAAGATATGGGTAAACAACGTGATTTAACAGCCTTTGAACGTGGGATATATTTGGACGTGAGTGACCAGATTATTATGACCACCCCATCAGTACTTTGTTGGGTCACCTTTTGCCTTCAATACTGTGGCGATTCTTCTTGTCATTGACTCCACGAGATGTTGAAAGGTGATCTGACACCATCCCTGATGAATAGCACTGTCCAGTTCTGTGAGATTTGATGGTTGTGGAACCAGCTGCCTGATGGCTCTTTTAACTTTGTCCCACAAATGCTCAATTGGATTGAGATCTGGTGATTGTGGGGGCCACCTAAGCAAGGTAAAGTCTCCCTCATGTTCTTGAAACCACTCCTGCACAATATGAGCACCGTGGCACGGCGCATTGTCTTGTTGGAAGAAGCCATCTCCATTGGGATACACCATCAACATGATAGGATGAACTTGATCAGCAACGATACTTAGGTATGTTGTGCTATTCAGACGTTGTTCCACACGAATTAAAGGGCCCAGATCATGCCAGGAAAACATGCCCCAAACTATATCACTGCCCCTACCAGCTTGAAGGGTTGTACTCATGCATGTGGGTGCATGCTTACATACTGTTTCCGCCAAATTCTCACTCTGCCATCTGCATGATGCAACTGGAAACCTGATTCATCGGACCACATGACTTTTTCCAATGCTCAACTGACCAATCCTTGTGTTCCTGTGCAAATTGGAGACGATTTATCTTGGTATCTGCAGACAGCAAAGGTGTTCGAACAGGCCTTCAGCTTCCATATCCCATACGATGCAGTGTACGGCTAATTTGCCTACAAACGTCAAGCGGTCATAATAATCTGGCCACTCACATTCAAATGTATCCCACGTTCAAAGGCTGTTAAATTGCGTTGTTCCATATCTTAAAAAAAAAATCACTTCTACTGTCGTGGTAAACAACCTGCTTCCCTATTAAAATGGTCTGGCCCTCT